AATGTTTCCGTTGTGGAAGTGATTCGAGGAGGCTGAGAAATTGTACCGCTTTGGAGCGCAAAAAGTAAGAGAGTCGAAGAGGTTCAGAAAATCCGAATATATGAATGATTGCATATGGACAACGTCTTATGGATAATGAAACTACCTCTATGTGGATGGATGCTTGTGGACGAATAACTATGGACACAAATTATCATGTGCCTCTACTGTTGTTAATAGATTATACTTTGAGAACAATCTCAATCCTCCTTTTGTTTTTTAGCTTTCATGTCTAAGGAAACCTCTAGGGTTCTTATATGAAAAGTTTGCAAGCACACCACATACTTAAACATGATATCATTGCAGATTAAAAAATAAGATTACCTTGTTTAACCACAAATTTGGAGATAAGCAAAAGTAAGTTCACACACAATTTGATATTAACACTGTCTAGAGTCTCTAGACTATGTAGTATAATCCCAAACAAAGAATTGGTTGAATTTGAGTTTGAAATACGATCACAAACTACTTCAAATCTGATATAACCTTCTGTTAAAATTAAATCTCTATGAAATTATGCTAAAGAGATTCAAAATCAAACCAAACAAGACAAGATTGGCAATGGCGATAAAAAAAAAAAATTGCAACTTATTGAACAATATAGAAGTCTAACCTATTGTTTGGATTTTCGGAGAGCTAAACTTGTCGAAGAAGATATAAGGACACTCTTTCCTAATACCGGTCTCTGAATCTCAAATTGATTCGTCGATGGTCACGAAATCTGTTGATTCCTGGATATGAGGTGATGGGTCTTTCGAATTTTGGGTTGATGAATCGTTGGGATTTAAGTTTTAAACTAGATTGAAACCTAAAAGATATGGGTTTGCACAAGGTTGATTTTCATACAGATGAAGAAGACGATGAACTCTAATCAGGAAAGAAGGAGATAAAGATAGGGAAGATAATTAGAATTTTATTGTATAATTTCAGCCACAAGATGCTTTTACACTTTTAATTAATGAACGGCTCAGATCTTTTTTAAGCCACTAAATTTGGCCTTGTTTCTTTCGCCTCTCTCTCTTTCGTGAAAGGGCAATATGGTATAAAAGGAAATTGAACAGTTGAAAAAATGTGGGTGATTGGTTGGTCTTTAAATCCATCTTACAGCCTTATTTTTTCAAAAATCATCATATCTTTACCAATCAAGTTGTAGCTTTATTTCTTAAAACTACAGATTTTGTATTATTTTTACCAATCATGATGTAGCTTTTTTTTTCAAAGTTACAACCCAAAAAAAAAAAATTTTTTTCTTGTTGTAACAAGTCAAAAACGTAAAGCCCTATTTTTTGGGTTTTAAAAGTTGTGATTATAAAATAGAATTATCAATATTAAAAAAATGGAAAATCAGAAATAAACTAGAAAAATACCTAATTNCCGTCACTAAACCCTAAGCTCCATACGTTCATCATTCTCCACAAATAATTTAACTAGTCTTCTCTAAAGAAATACGTTTATCGAGGTTGTCACACATCGTATTTTCTCTTCACCAGTAAGTCTCTTTTATTAATCTATTCGTTTGATGTTTAATTATTAGTTTATACCACTAGANATGTNGAGTTATATGAGAAGAAGATCCTTTAGTTTAGAGAGTAGTTAAATTATATTTTGACAATTTCGATAAACGTGGTTTGTTAGAACTTGTTGTGTTTGTTTAAATTTGTTTAAATTTTAGGATTGTTGGATCTTTTTAATGATGTTACTTATTATGAATGGTTCATAAGTTAATTATTTATTATGTTGAAAGCAACATAAAATTTNTAAATTATAATAATTTTTATTTGCATAAATTAATTTAATTAAAACTACAGCACATATCTTATAGTTACCAATCATGTTTNTATTTTAATATAGTTACAGCTACAGCTTTATATCTACAGCAAAAAAGTCTGCAGCAAAAAAATCTACAGTCTAAAAAATGTACAGCTACAGCCAAAACATTTACAGCAAAAATTCTACAGCAATTAATCTACAGCTACAGCCGAACCAATCACCCACAATATATAGCTGAGCATAATTAAATGTAATATCTTTCTAAGAAAGTATGTCTACGTGTAAATAACTCATTTTCGTAGTGATTTTTTATGAAACGTAAAATTTGATATGACAATGTTAAATTGATTAGTTGAATATTAGCATTAAAAAAAAACTTAATCGTTGATTTTAAAAAGAAAATATAATTATATTTAATATAAAAATAAAAGTTTATCTTAAATTATTGATATTAATTTTTTGAGAAATCCCATTTTTGAGATTCACTTTTCAAAAATGTCATTTTTCAAATATATAATATTATTTATGTTTGGGTTAACTATGTTGAA